TATGTTTAACTTGACTGGAACCAAACTCAATTTCTCAATCTAGGTGTTTCTTCTTAAAATTTAACTCCGATGTGTTCTATTAATGGTCGACACCAATTCAACTCTATATTTAGACACACACACACACACATAGTTTTTGGCATTTTGTATGGCTAAAACCATTAAAAATTTACAAGTCAATATGAAATATTTTATTATACATAGACAAATATCTTGTTAAATTAAATGTATTAATTTAAATGAAATCTGACAATTTATCACCATTTTTAAGAAAAACTCCATAAATTTTAAAATTTTCTTTTGTAATGCATGTGTCCTCGACACAAAATAAATTATCAACAAATTAATATTTTATTAAAATTATCATATTTAATAATGTTAATACATTAAAGTTTATATTTTAAATGTTTATAATTATTTAAATTACTATGATATATCTTTATACACATTAAAAAAATTTATGTATGAAATTAGGTTGAGTTAGGCCAACTTAAAGTGAAACCTGCTTAATAATATGGTATATCTTTCAGAACAAAAGTTCAGTACAATTAGCTTCAAGAATGAAGGTTATTAAACCGAACCATTTCTCAAGAACCTCAATTAATTGACAGGTTGGGTAAAGTGATGGATTAACTTGCTTAATGCATCACTTTACCATTTGTAGAAATGCTAATTGGCCTAATCCACCAACTAAACAAAAGAGGTAAGAGTTGGTCATGTTAATTAATCCACCTAACAAAAATTCGTTTAAACGAAAGCGAAAATACACTGCAACATATTTTTCTTTCTACGTAATTTTGTTTAAGTGAATGTTTTCTTTTCTTCGTTACTTCAGTTCCCTCTCTTATCCTCTCCTTCCAATCCAGCTACCCTTTTTCTTCCTCCTTCTCACTCAGTCCCTTTCTTTCCTCCCTTTCCCCATCTTTTCTTCCTTCAGCCCACCCATTTTCCTCCTCTCTCTCTTTTTATCTAACTCTCCTCTCCTCCCCTCCCCTCCCCTTCATCCCCACTCATCCCCCTCCCCTTTTCTCATCATCTAACCCTTTTTCCTTCTCTCTATTAGCTTTCTCCCGCTCTCCTTCTCCCTTGTGTTCTTGCTCCATCTCTTATCTCCCTCTCAGCCTCTCTTTCTCTTCTTTTTTTATTTTTTTTTTGTTACTCTTTCTAAATTCGCTTAAGCAAAATTTTATGGCTTAAGCAAATTTTTTTAGCTTTAAGCCAAAATTATTTTTTACCAAAATTCACTTAAGCGAATCAAAAATTACAGCATGCAGTTTCTACTAGAACTGCAGAGAATCCAGATCCTTAGTTTAGTCTACAAATGATTGTGAGTAGTTGAGGCATGTGAAACTTGTTTTGAACATGTTAAACATTTTTGTAAGATATATAATGTCGTTTTATGTTGAGTTTATTATTTAATACTAAAACAAGAAAACTTGTATTTCAATATACACAAAACTAAGTGTTTTTTCTTTTCTTTCAATGCTAGAAGACTAAAATAATCAAAATTAAGATGAAGGAAAAATTGAAATTTATCTTAAAATTAAGGATAAAAATAATTTTTACTTTCAATATACTTGTATATTTTATTTTTCACTACAACAAATATATATAAATATTAACGACAATGTTCACAAAATTAATAATAATAAAATAGAGGTAGCAATCAAACCCATTCTTAACATAAACTCAAAAAGTACTTGTAATAGTTGAGTAGTTAAATTTATTATTCAACAATGAATTTAGATTCATGCACGATAACATGAACAATCACAGACAAATTTTTATTGTAAAAATAACATTATAATACCAAATTTATTCATATCCACGTAAAGTTTTAATGATATTATATAATTAAATTTTAAAAAAATAAATATTTTTTAATTAAGTAAATAATTGTGTTGAAATGTTTTATAACTAAGAATAAAATTATCAGTAAATATTTTATTTAAGTTAATATACATTTAGTTTAATATTAATACACAGTAATACATATATTTTATTAAGTTTTCAATTCAATGCATTACAAAAAATTAAAATAAAATTAATTAAAATGTCATTTTTTTAAAAATGTGCAATATTACATAAGATAAGAAGTTATATACACACACTAAGCTTTTATAAAAACTATTATATTTAATATTATTAATGTATTAAACTATATTAAAATTTATAATTTTCATTAATATTTATTATATATAAATTTTTACTATGTGTCATATAACGTGTTAGAAAAATTCTTAAAATATACCTTCACAAATTTTAATAAATTAATATGGGTAGTAAAATATTTAATAGAGCTATTCTCCTTGGTAGCTTGCTATGTGTACATTTTAAAAAATAAAATTAATTAAAAGTTATACGTGAATTATTTGCTATAATAATTTTACTTTTCACCTACATTTTTGTTAATTTTTAAAAAAATTTAGATATTAAATTATTATTTAATTTTTTATATTAATTTATATAAATTTTTAGATTTATTGTGATACCTATTGTTTACTTTTATAAATTTTTTTCATTATCTTATATAAATTACATTTTTTCAAAATACTTATCTCTACTTTTATAAAATTTATGATACTTTTCTATTATTTGAAATATTTCTATTAATTACATGTTTTTAATTTCATGTTAAAAAATATTTTTTCTTTTACAAATTATAGTGCACCATTTCTCTCAATATTTTTTTCAAAATTTCTTTTTTTAAGTTAATTATAATAAATTAATTTTAACATTGGAGTAACTTTTACTGTTCTCTGCATATCTCAGTGTCATATAAATAAAATGGATATACCTTTTGATTTTTACATTTTTATTACAATACTATATATATACATTACAATTTTTTAAAAATATACATCACAATTAACATAATTTTGATTAGTGTATTATATTTTATTATTTTTATAATCATATAAAATTTTTAAATTCTATGCCTTTCAATTTTTATAATATATTCTAATATTTTATATTTATACATTTTTTTCTTTAATTATTAAATTATATATTATGTCTTGCACTGTTAAAGTAGTTATAATAAATGTTTGCTCTACAAAAATACTCACAGGAGTTATATATTTATTTAACTATTTAAATAAGATAATGATAAATAAAAGTATTATTTACATAACAACTAAAACATTTCAAATTTTATAAGACAATAAAAGTTAGACAAATTAAAATGAACAAAATGACATACGGAGTGGGTAATGAAGATTAAAAAGAGGGTATTAATTGATTAATCTGCTGCGACAGAGCAATCGGTGCCTTCCCCAACCACTCCCTTTCCTTTGTTCCTTCGCTCCTTCTCACACGTCAAACTTCGCTCTTCTGCCTTCTATCTCACTCGTCACTTTCCTCTTTATTTTGGAAACACAATTTTTTTTTCTTCCTCTTGAAAAAGACGAAATTAAATTAACAATGAAATGCACACCAAGTTTCATGTTAAATAATTTTCCGTGAGGTCAATATGTTATTTATGCCAAAAAAAAAGAAGCGTGCTTTATTAGGATAAGGGATCAAAGTGTCAAACAAAAATTATAATTGAGAATCGATGTTTCCTTCTTACTTATTATCAATGATGCGACTGTGAGAGAAAATGCATGAATGTTTCTAAGTTATCAATTTTGAGAATATTTAGGAGAAGGGAAGAAGTAGGTCACGAAATAGAACATGTAATGAAAAAAGAGCAAAAAGAAATTATTATTATTATTAAAAGAAATTATTGTAGAAATAATAGTATAACCCTAATTATAGCAAGCAAATGAATTCATTGAGGGCCTACAAATAAAAATGTATTGCCTTGGGGTTCTAACTTATAAGAATGAAAGAGATCAAACGAGGAAATTGAAAGTACATGTACCGTATGTGGGCCATACGTGAATGCTTTCTTCCTACTCTCCGATGGTACTTGAATCCTCGTGCATGCAATGGAATTTGGGTTTGGCCCTTTTGAATTTTAGCCCCTGCAAAAACACATTCATCGGCAGCTCTATCTAGTGGCCATTCATGGAGTCGGCACCGTCCCAACAAGTTCTCCGAGAAATTCGAAGAAGGGGAAAGAGATAACCCAAATAAGATAAAAGTTGAAGTCGGAATTGGCAGGGTGGGGGAGGACTTGGCAATTCACAAGCCCAACATCTGGCTTGAGTTGTCACCTTTTATTTTTTTTAATTATTTTATCATTAAGCTAAAATTAATAAATAATATTTTTTTATTAAAAAAATACATTATAATATATATTTTTTTAAAAATAGGTGCTTTTTTTTCTTAAAATATTAATTGGGTGACGTATTTAGGATGATGGAACCTGGTTCCTTGCTGGTTCCATCCATCGCACACCTAAACTCACAGTCTGAGAAGAAAGCTAGGTCGTAGGCGTAGGCAGTGCTTTGGTATGTTAATTTAGTCTATTTCTGTGAGTCTAGGAGTAGCAGCATCATAATTTAAGTTTAAATAAAGTAAGGAAGTGACGCGATCATGATGTGGACCCTTCCAATGATATGGTTCGCATCGTGTGATAGGAATCTCAAGGTGGGCATTGCGTGTAGAATTCTGGATGGGACCCACGCCTGCAGTGGGCTACAAAAATCTGAACCTGAAAGCACGGATTCTAATAAGTAATGCTGTGCTAGTCTACTGTAGCCACAGCAATAGCTTTATGGGGATTCTCAATAATTGAAATTCAAAATGAAAATGAAAATGAAAATAAAAAATCAATAGTACTGCTACTAACAGGGTGGGTGAGTAATGGGTGCGTGCGTGTGCGGTCAATCCCATACGTCTCCCTGCATGGACCAGTTTAGACGCCAAAGTCGCCATCATCTTAGACAGCCACGTCACCCCACCTCAAGACCTTACAGCCTGGCAACTGTCTCACCAATCACTAACTCCCACGTGTACACTCAAATGTTGACACCTCTCCTCTTACAGCTGTCTACTCTTCCACGCTGCACCATATAAATACCCCTCTCATTTCGATTCTCTCCCTCGTCCACGCACTCACTTTGCCTCTTAATATTAATCCATTGTTTCAGTTGAAAAAAAAAAAATGCTCTCGAATTACCATTTTGCCACGGCATTGATTTTATGGTTTGCTCTATTGGGGCAGAACCCTGCCGTGGGGGCGCAGGTAGAGCAGCAGCCATTGGTGCTCAAGTACCATAACGGTGAACTCCTCAAGGGACGGATCACCGTTAATCTCTTATGGTACGGCAATTTCGCGTCAATCCAACGCTCCATAATCGTTGACTTCATTAACTCCCTCAGCTCCTCTCCGGGGGGCCCACTCCCCTCCGTGGCGTCCTGGTGGAAGACCACGGAGAAATACAAGGGGGGATCCTCTGCGCTCGTCGTAGGGAAGCAAATCCTACATCAAACCTATTCCCTCAAGTACCTCAAGGGAACTCATCTTCTCTCGCTAGCTTCCACTTTCAACGACCTCTCCGCAATCAATGTCATTCTCACGGCCAAGGACGTTGCCGTTGACGGCTTTTGTAGTAGCCGGTGCGGGACCCACGGGTCTACACGGCCCGTCAACGCGACGGCCCGTACTGCTTACATTTGGGTTGGAAACTCCGAGGCTCAGTGTCCTGGCCAATGCGCTTGGCCCTTCCACCAGCCCATTTACGGCCCACAGACGACGCCGTTAGTGTCGCCCAACGGTGACGTTGGGGTGGACGGGATGATTATTAACTTGGCAACGCTTTTGGCTGGAACTGTGACGAATCCATTTAACAACGGGTATTTCCAGGGTCCTGCAACGGCGCCGTTGGAGGCCGTTTCGGCCTGCACGGGGATTTTCGGTAGCGGGGCATACCCGGGTGATCCGGGTCGGGTTCTGGTGGATAGAACGACGGGGGCAAGCTATAATGCGCAGGGCGTGAATGGGAGGAAGTACTTGTTGCCGGCAATGTGGGACCCGCAAACCTCGACATGCAAGACGCTGGTTTGATAGATACAGTGCAATGGGTTGGGGGTCTCAGTCTCAGGTCATTCAATTCGAGTGTGTTCTTCTGCGAACCCTGCAAAGGAGCTTTTGGCGTTTAGCGTGACGTGTAAATTCTGTTATTATAAACAAGAATGTTTAATATATGGGAAAAAAAGGTTAAATAAAGGAAAATAAAAATTATTTTTATTTATATTATGCAATGTAAGCTTGTTTTTATGAATATGATAAAATGTAGAATTCTGTCCGGAAGTTTTTCGGACCTTTATTTTGTGCTTTGATTGAAGAAGCCAAACCCGTGAAACTAGAGATATATTTATACGTACATTTGCAGTGTCACAAAAGAATTATTTATCTTGTTATTTTGTAAATCATAATTCTAAGTGAGGGTGGTGTTTATTATTTATATTTTTAAATATAGGGAATATATAATTGAATGGATGGTCTTTAATTTGATAAAAACGTTGAAACTTCGGCAGTGTCATGACAATTGCGTGTTCAACTAGCATGCTGAAGACGGAAACATGAGCAACTGGGAACTTGAAATTTATTTAAATTTTGAAGTTAGGAAAATCTGTACAGTCGTGCCTCTTTTCCACTGATATAGAACAGTAAGTCACTGAGGCATACTTAATTATTTATTGATATTCTACAGTGAGTTCGAAAATTTCCTAAAATATTTTACCAGCTGAGGGAATTCGTATCTTAACACGTTAATTAATAACCAATGTCTGACTAACTTCTTATGTAGGAATGAGTCTTTTTTGTGGTTTTTTTCTTTAAAAATAAATTGTACTTAAATAATGTTTTGAGAAATAAAAATTGTAAATGGATGGCTTTGTGGTGTATGGTAAATAAGAATAGGTATAAGGTGGTTTTGGGTTGTTGGGGGAGTGGGTGGCACAATGGCGTAGTGGTAGGGATGAGTGAGAGGTGAATATGGTGGCACTAGTCTACAAAAATAGCACAATTGTATTTGTGGTTTTGGTCGGTCCTCTCCTGCTTTAATCATATTGTGATAAGCCTTTAGCAAGCTCAGTTAATATTGTGGGTTGGCTGGTTACTGCCATTAAATTCATGTGCATTAGAAAAGCTAAAAAAACAGGTGGGGATGGGGGCGGAACTCGCAAGTTGCTACCTTTTCATTTTGCTCTCTATTTTCATTTTTTCTTGCCAACTGTTGCTCGTGTATTTTATTACAACTAAGGGTTGTTAAGGTGGCTATTTGGGCTATTTTTTTACCACTTATGATTCATTACTTTTAATTGGTTAATAAATTTTAATATATATTTTTAATTTTATATCATCACATGTGTGCCACCTTAGGGGTATTTCACTGACCTAAGCTTTTAATTCTTTGTATGGTTAACTGGAGTTGGAGCGACAGAGATATGAAAAGGACTAGGCCTTATTAAATTTTCATAGCAACCACTCTCTCCATGGGTGGAGCTAGCTAGTTACATGCAATGTTTCTTTCTATTTTCACTCAGACCATCAAAAGTAAATTGGAGATGTTCCTTTTTAAAAGCTAAACAATTAATCGATTCAAAGCTTAAAATATCTTTATATTAAATGGTTGTAGAGTTATGTACTGTATTACCATCGTTAATCTCCAATTTTTCTATAGACTACATACCAGGAGTTGTTAATAAATTCCTATCATATTCTAGGTTAATTGTCCGAAGTTGCTCATTACCTATGTACAAATAACTCTACTAATCAGGGTATAATTAAAATATTAAAACAACCATCTTGCATATGATAAATATCATTCGGATGCATTGTGATATCAGTTATATCTCGAAAAGTTTATTCATTACTCACTACTAGAACATAAATACACATTCTTTCCCCAAACTTAGTACAAAACTTTTCAAGTACAACCAAGATGCACACCTGCAGTGTTTTAACTGTCTTGTAACACTAATATAGGACAACTTAATTGTGCCATCTATTTATGTTCTTATGGCACTCGGTGGAGTGGCTCCCAGCAGTATTTGTTCACTGTCCATAGCAAAATTAAATATATGATACAGCTCTCTTCTAAATTCTAAGTGAGGCTAGAGATTGCATTGAATTAAGTCTTCTCTTGCGTAACCTCTCAGCAATATTAAATGCAAGCTCCAGAGATTGAGAAGCATTAAGCCTTGGATCACAATGAGTGTGGTAGCGTGAGCTCAGGTCATCATAAGTAATAGTCCGTGAGCCTCCTACACATTCTGTCACATTCTGCCCAGTCATTTCTAAATGAACCCCACCTGGGTAGCTTCCCTCTTGGTCGTGGACATCAAAGAATGCCCTCAGCTCAGCCTATTATCAACATCCGAGAACCATGAAAATTTATCATCAATAGCAATAAACCTTTAATTATACTACAAAAACCAACCTTGAAACTGATAAAGCCAGACCTTGAATAACAAGAACAAAGCATAAACATCATCAAGATGGACAAACATCCAAAGAAATTCCTCCTACTAGCTTAGTTCCTGTACATTTCAACATGACACTGAATTTTCTTACGTGCACTTATGATCTACCCAAGTAAATGACATGCCAAACCATTATCTTAACCATTATGTGCAACATCCATAAGCTTCAGGATAAAACCACATTGGAAGAATAGGACACCAGAAATCAACAAACTGTACCATTACTTTATCCATCAAGACACTAAGGCTTTGTTTGGATCTCATGTTTAGGAGAAGAGAGAAGGATAAGGGAAGGGTTAATGATCATTAACCTTTGTTTGGAAGTTAATTAAATATGAGAGAAAGGGTTAAGAGATTTTTCTAAACCCCTAACCTTGTTTTTTTTATTTCCCCTATTTTGATGGTGTTAGTGACTTGAGGTTTATCATTTCTATTTTTATTTGTTAGATTAAATATTTAGCATGGTCTTTGAATAAAATAGCAAGAAAATAAAAACTTAAAAAAAAATGTTAGTTTTTAGATTGATAAATTTTTTAAAATTATAAAAAATAAAAATATTAATGTTTAGAGAGAAAAATATTTAATTTTTGTATTTTTTGAAAAAAAGGACAAAAAAAATATATGAATAAAAAATATAAAAGAATAATAATATCATTTACATATTAAACCCTCGATTAGCCTTCCCTCTTAATATTAAACATCCAAACAATAAAGGAATTTAACCCTCCTTCCCCTCCCTTCTCTCCTAAGCCATTTAAACACTTTTTTTCCTTTTCTTCCAAACTTTCAAATAAAGCCTAATGAAATCGTAGAATTGGTAATTTTCAATGTCATAAGAACACTTTATTATAATTTTGATGGCATTTCAGGGTTAGGAAATTTTTCTTGGAAAATCATATGTGAAAGCAGTTGCCAACCACCAAATAAACGAAATATTTCAATAATAGGCATTCTGCTTAAATGAGTGGGAGACAGGACAAAGATCACCATAATGCCCCCCCACAAGTAACAGTCCGTTGTTTTCTTAAGGTTACCTTTGGGAGTTAGGGTTTTACAAGGAAAAGGAAAGGTAAGTTTTCTATTTATAAATTAAGAGAGCTGTATGATGTTTACAAAGATAAACAAACCATTAGAAGATCAAGTTTATGCTAATCAGCTATCATATCATTTTATTTCTTTCATTTAAAAAAATTTATCAAATAAGAAAATTTTTATCAGAAATGAAAAATTTACCCTACCTTCCCTTTTTCCTTCAAAATTCAACTTCAAAAACACCCTTAGAGTGTAGCAGATTTATGAGTTAAATTGTACGCACTAGAAAAGTTAGTGACAACACCAACTTTAAACACTGCATTAGAACTAAAAACCAATGACCTAGTACAGAGTAATTGTCTATTGGTTAAATATTGAATATAGAATATAAAACAGAAATATATATGTTAGAAAAAGGAACCAAGCATAAGTGAAAATTACCCTTATTGAATCAAAAGACCGAGTTTTAAGTCCAGATGGAGCTTTAATTGTGTTCCCATGCATGGGATCACTAACCCAAGTGACAATTTGACCTGCTCTGCGAACTGCCCTGATAAGATGGGGAAGCTTCACTCGCATATTCTCAGCTCCCATTCTAACAATTACTGTAATTCTTCCAGGCTTGTTTTTAGGGTTCAGAATATCTATCAGCTTAACAAGTTCATCTGGAACCATCTTATCACTCACCTGAAAACGAAGTAGCCTTTCAGTAGCTGCAAATTTTTTGTCAGAGGTGCATTAATTACTACCACCGGACCAAGGCCCTTCAGATAGGATTGTAGCTTAACAGTTTACACAGCATATTAAAAGATAATTATTACTTATTAGTTGAGTTAAGCATATGGAGAAGTTATTTTGATTGACAATAAAAGCACAAATAATTCTGCAGAAAATAATAAATAAATAGAATAAAGCATGTGAAAGGCCATAGGTGAAGATCTATATATGCACCTTGATGCCAAGTGGATTAGCAACTCCTCTCAAAAATTCAACATGAGCACCATCAAGTTGGCGAGTGCGTTCCCCAACCCATAGCATGTGGGCTGAGCAATCATAATGAAGCCCAGTAGTAGAATCCTCCCTAGTAAGAGCTTGTTCATAAGGGAGAAGCAAACACTCATGGGAGGTCCAAAAGTCTGTTGTAGTCATGATTGGATGCTCAGATGTGAGTCCAGCAGCACTCATGAAGCCAAGAGCCTCATCCACTCGATGAGCCAATTCACGGTACCTGTTGGCCCACACCAAAATAAGAGCTGATGTAATAAAAGTTGAAAAATTCATAAGATAGCAATTTCAAGAAAGCACATAAGATAAAGCATGTCAACTAGGTTAGATTAGCTAAACTAAGGTGTAAGGGATAAAGGGATCACTACAAGAAAACTGGAACACTGCAATTCTAACATTGTTTGAAGGAGGACAAAAAGTAAATACATAATATCATACATAAATTCCGTCCAGATTTTTTTCTGAATTCATTACTTTTAAAGAGTGCAAGACACGTGTCAGGGAGAGAATCTCCCATTACAATATCACTACAACTACATTCAGTCCATTTACTGTGACAAGAACAAACAAATTAAGTCATCGACTCTAGTTCATTTATTATACTTTCTACTCTTTCTTCAGGGGAAATATCTAAAATTATTCCCAATTTCCATTCCCTCTTTTTATACCCCATTTGTCTTCCACTACCTTTTGAGCAATATAGAAAGAGTCAGCTTAATTTTCAAACACATCCATGCAAACCATTTTAAATATATAAGAATAAGAATTAATAAACACGACTGAGTCAAAATCCTGAAATAATTTTTAGAAAAGGTTATAAACGATGCCTGTCTCCCTGTTCACTATGCTCCATGAAATCAAGATTCCATTCAATAACCCTTTGCATGGCAGCATAACCTCCAGTTGCAAATGCACGCAAGAGGTTAAGAGTAGCCACAGATTGGCAGTAGGCTCTTATCATCCTCTGTGGATCAGGAACTCGAGATGCTGCATCAAATACATCCCCGTTCACATTGTCACCCCTGTAACTTGGAAGCTTGACCCCGTTTTTCTCCTCAAACGGGTCTGATCTTGGCTTTGCAAATTGACCCGCCATTCTCCCCACCTGATTCAGCAAAATCCAACAGTTGAAGTATGTCATTCTCATTCATAATAAAATTGTAAACCAGCACAGCACAGGGTAAGACAAAAATGCCCATTAAAAGGACAAATCTGATTAATCACAGTTATACAAGAAAAATCTCAACGGAAAAATCTTATCAACCACAATACAAAAAATACATCCTCTTCCCCCCCTAGCTGGTTACTCACAAAACAAAAACCAAGGCTTCAAACAACAACAATTAGATTAACCCAGTAGCACCACACTCCTTTTTTTCCCTAAACCAGGCCACGCTCCTTCACTTATCTAAACAACATTGAAAACAGCCAAATCTATCCAACACACTGAGAGTAATAATAACAATAGAAAATCGACAATTTCCCTAAAAAAAATGAAATTGGGGAAAGAGGGTAGACCTTGACAACTGGCATTTGGCCACCGAACATCAGAACGACACCCATTTGAAGAATGACACGGAAGGTGTCACGGATATTGTTGGCATTGAATTCCTTGAAGCTCTCGGCACAATCACCGCCCTGAAGGAGAAAAGCGTTGCCCATAGCAGCCTGACCCAACTTCTCCTCAAGGCTCCTCGCTTCTCCAGCGAAGACGATTGGGGGAAAAGAAGAGAGGGTTTCGAGGACTTGTTCCAACTCCTTCTCATCTGGGTACTCTGGAAGCTGAAGTGCCTTCTTCTCCCTCCAACTATCCACGCTCCATATTGGGGCAGTTCTTGCCGCCGCCGCCGTTGTCTTCGAAGGCTCCGCAGAATTGGCAACAACGACGGATCTGCGTGGTTGCTGAGGCCTAAACAGGAAAGGACAAGGTTTTACTTTGAAGGTGATAAGGGACGAAGACGCCAGGGCCATTTTCTCTTCTCAACAAAACTGAACAGAGATTGCGATATAATGACTTTTGAGTGAGAGTGAGACAGAAATATCTCATCCGCTTCTGACTTAGCTTGTTGTATACTTTATATGTTTAGCTTTATTGACTCTGTCATTAACAGAATCCGTCAGGATGCGCATATTTTAGGGTTTGAAATTTTTTTTTTAATAGAAAACTTTTGTTGAAGAAAAAAAATCCTTATTGTACATCATAAAATTGGTTTTTTTCTTAAATAATAAATTATTAAATTTACATTTTTTAAATTTTTTTTAGGTCTTTTTACCAACTCACGAAAAATTTTGTACATGATATATGAACAAAAAAAAAATATTTATATAATTAATAAAATTCATAAAATATAACGCGTGTTATAATTATAGAAATTTTTGTTTATATAATAGAAAAAATTTGCTTTTTTATCATGTGATGAAAAACTAGTTTTGTCTCTCACATGAACAAAATTTGATGTAATTGTGTCACTTATTATTATCTTGTTATTTTGGTATATTATATCAATAAAATTTGATAAAATTATGCCACATGTCATGATCATGTAGGTTTTCTCTATTATACAAGTGAAACTAAATAAAATTTTATCATTTGTTTGTACTCATGAATAAAATGTAGTTACACTTTTTTATTTAAAAAATTTTTGTATATAAATAATGGTCAAGATGCATTATGAATAATTATTTTGAGATATTTTAAAGATTATTTAAGAAAATTTTAGAGAATTTATTGAGTTAGTAATATTTTTTATTATTATTTTAATATTTATTAGTTAAAAATATGTGAATAAATTTAATTGATTATTGAATAATAATACAAAAAAAAATATTTAGTTAGTTATTATTTTGGTTAAAGTATTTGAATAATTTTAATTGTTTTAAATCTCTCAATTAAATTATATTTTATTTTTAATTAGTTAAGTTAAAATTAAATGAACAATAATATTTTGTAGAAAATTTTCTTACAAATATAGGATGAGTAAAATTGTTATTGGAATGAAAAAATATTTGAAGAAAATGAAGGTGTGACTTTTGAATTAAATAAAAAAATGATCAAGATAAGAATAAGGATAAGTTTTGAGGTTTTAAAAAAAATTCATAAAAATCTAATCTTTCTTAAAATTATGTTATATATATATATATATATATATATATATATTAATTTAACATTTTTTTTATTGATTCAAGTGCTAAACATTATGATGAAGACATTGATTATATGATTAACACGTATTAACAACAAAGTAATATAACTATTATTTAGTTATATACTAATTTTGTGTTTGGTGAGAGTTTAATAGTTGCCTTATAGATGTTGGACTTAAATTTATCAAGTCATCAGCGAATTATATTAATAAAATGAATATATATAAATACATTTATTAATTGATTTTTTTATTTAAATTTTGTGTTATGAGAAAACATATTGACTAAGTTATTATAATTTTAAGAAAGTGGAGATGATGAATATGAAGATTAGTATGATGATTATGACGATGTTGATGAAAGACAAATTTCATTAGATAATTCATCTTATACTGACCTAGATGATGGATTTAATTCAAACTTAAAGCGTTTTTTTTCAAGGAGATCTATTATATGTTAGTTTGTTATTTGACTCTTAAGTGTAAATTAAAAATGCATTAAAATATTATGTTATGAGAATACATCAAAGTTATTTTATGGTTGAGTCAAAACTAACAAAGTTACATGTGAAGTGTTTGAACCATATTAATGGTTGTCCATGGAGAGTGAGAGTGACATTACTTGTTGGGAATCAAATAAAATATCAAAGAAAAAACTGAAATAAGAAAAAACATAACCATTAAAAGTATAAGCAAATGATTTAAAGGGGACATAACTAAGAAAGAAAGGATCACATGACAAGGGCTGCGATTGCAAGAATGGGATGTTAGAAAACAAAGGAGCCATTGAGCAACCATCGAGATGTCAAACTCATCTAAACTACCAATGTTAAAAAAGCAATTCATATGTAGACAAAGACATATAGGAATACTCCTTCAAGAGTAGAGACATGTCGCTTTAGCCCTTTAGTTTTGCAGCTAGGATGTCCACAAGTAAGAAGAAAGAAGTCAAATTATAGAAAGAAACATTGTCTAAAAGTGGTTAAAGGTATCAAATAGGAAATGATGGAGACAAGGGTCACCATTATTAGTTGTTGTGCTACTTATGCACCAATGGATAAGGAACTATATAAGGAACAAATGGTAGAGAATATGGGGCTTTTCTTCCATTAAGTTCTATACTTCGAAGGTTTAGAAACGCTCCCTAGAGAGTAAGGAAAAAGAATGGAGGAATGCCACAGGAGATTTCTTCTCAAAGAAACATTCCCACAAGTGCATTCTCTAAGCTCATAAACCTCAAGCACGAAAACACAGATGCTACAAAGTACAAGGAGGTATATTTAGATGAGGTGAGTGTTTCTTGGTATCCTTGAGTGAAGGAATGACAATAAGGTGAAGCTCAAAGAAGGTTCTAACAAATAAGAACTCGTGAGCGATATTTGACTTGAAGGGCTTTCAAATGTGCTTTACTCTAGTAGGGGTGTTTCACGTCTTGAGAAGAAGATAGTAGTTACCTCTAAACATAGTGTACATCTCAAGGCATTAATAAATCCCCTACAAGAAGGAGGTGTGTCAAGAGATGAGGCTAAACTCATTCCGTTGGAAAAACACTTGTTATGCTCTTTTGTTCACCCTTATAGGTTAGGCGTCCATAAGCACCATTTCTTATGTACTTTATAAGTTTACAAACTCAACCTTGTAATATTGTTTGCCCAAAACATTTGGCAACTTTACTAAAAAAGTACATTTGGAAATGAATGGAGCTCAGATGCAACAACCTATGGTGCTATTCAGGATAATGCGAGTATTTGGATAGAAGTAAAGATGTCACTTTGTGGTGCAAGATATATGCAGGAGTGAACTCCTTAATGACGCACTGATGTTGAATGATAACGCTCATGACCTAATAAATAGAGGAAGGTCAAAGAGTCAGAAGATGCAATGTAAGTCATTATTGTCACACCTTTATGATTTTGAATACACATAAATGAGTTTGTTATGGATTGTTCATGAAAGATAAAATGAAAAAAATGTAGCATTAAGATAAGTCCATCTTTCATGTTTGCAATATTAGGACACATTTATTATTACCTTACGATATGTTTTAAACAAAAATACAATAACAAAATCCAAAAAAAAAAAGAGAAGAAAAAGAAGAAATGCATAAAAGAGGAGAAAAGAAATTGCATTCTTGCAAGTGGTGAAATTACAAGGAATTGTTGCCTTTACTTTTGTTAAATTTAGGATATGAAACAAGAATAGTGTGTCACATACTCCAAAATAAGTTTTAAAAAGATTTAACTTGTGTTAGGGTCATAGTTACATTACATGTAAATAGACAGAGTTTCACGATCTTTGAAGTAAAGCCTTTGAAGCTTTTGCTTTTGTTAAGCTCAAAAAAGAAAATATGACAAAGCCATCAATAACTTTTGCATAGCCACCATGTCCACTGCTCTCTTTTGTAAAGTGGGTCACTAGAATGAGCATAGGTTACAAATAGTGATAAAAATAAGCTAGGTTGTGTTAGATTTTACATAATTAAGTATGGCCTATTTAATAATTTTGAAGCATAAGTCTGACTTATTATCTATCATAGGCTTTTTATTAAGCCTAGCCTAGCCTTTTTAAAATCATGTGTTGATATGTAAATATAGTAATTAGGCCAGAAAAATAGCGTAATTACAACATATTAGGATTACATTTATCAAGGTAATAACCTATAATTAATGTAGATTCCCTTGTACATGCATAAATTCAGACCCTTGGGTCATATGCAATACATAGAAAAACACATTCAATTATCAGATTCTATATGGTATCAATTTTTGGTTTTGATCTGACACCTTTTTTTTAGTTGCTACAGTAATTGCGCCCTTATCTGGCCTCGATCTCCGCTGCCGTTGACTTTTTCGGCCATCTAAGGCTGCGACTAGGATGGTTTTCTCTCCGCGATCACCATCGACTATTCATCGTCACCACCTGCCGCCGCACGCGCCCTCACAAGCCATCGCAATCCTCGTGCATACGTTTCATGCGCTACCACATTTCGCTTATGCATCTTGATTTTTTTTAACACTGGTTCTGCTTTAGCAACTTTCTCTCCCCTTTTTCCATCTCCGACGACCTCCCTGGTATATTCTTATAGCCTTTTTCCTCTCTTCTTCGTGTTCCTGCAATGTCCACCTCCAAAAGTATTGTTGTGACCTTCACCACCGTGCCTTTGATACCCTGTGAGAAACTCCTTGGGGCTCGCAATTATTCCTCTTGGGCAGCGGCTGTTAAACCTTGGTTCCAAGGACAAGGTCGCTCTAACCATCTCACAATACAGGCTAAGGACATTGTTGCGGAAAAACGAGACCATTAGAAGCAAGTTTATGCCTCCCTTTGCAGTGTTCTCTGGTTCTCCATTGATACCAAACTGCAACAACAGTATCGTCTATTTAAAACCTGTTATGAGGTTTGGGAGAAGGCCAAACGAGTTTATTCCAATAAAATTCACCGTCTTTTTACGGTCATTGCCAACCTTATCTCCACCAAGAAACAGGACATGGATATGCAAAGTTACTTAGGTAAGCTTGACAACTTGATAGCTGAATTTAATGCTCTTATGCCATTTACTAGTGATACAGAAAAACATGCCCAACATCGGAGTGAATTCTTCATGGTGCTTGCTCTTCATGGCCTTCCTCTAGAACTTGACTCTGTTCACAATCAGGTTCTTTCTAGTCCCACAGTGCCATCATTTGATTCTATCTCTGAGCAGCTGTTATGCATGTTCACTCCTCAACCATTTGCGACAACCCCACTTCCCACTGCTCCTCTTGAGTCCATTACACTCTTGCTGAACTCCTTTCCTCCTGGCGGTCGTGAGAGGGGACATGGTAACACCTATTCTCATTCGCGTCCTCGCTGTGCCTACTGCAAGCGTTTTGGCCATCTTGAGGCTCAATGTCACACCAAGGTGAGCCT